AAGTTAATTGTTAGACATGTTCCATTTCTCTCTTTGCTATTGCTTAATTGCTATTTTTTCAAATTGAAGAATCATTATTTTTCAGGACTCATTTAGCACATGTTGTACATTTTATATGCTGCAATGCTCAGAATTGCCTTTTAAGTACTGAAGGAAGCTTAGCAGGTTTTTTTTTATTGTTTTCATCTCAGTCCATTAAGCTCCTAAAATGGATAAAGTCTAAGGCTGTGACATGAATGGAATAAATCTCTGAGCTAGGTTCAATGAATGCCAAGATATTTATTCTAAATAAATGATTACCCCAGTTAGATATTTGTAATGCTTGACGCTTCAAAAAAGCCTCCTACATAAAAAATTCAGCTACCACTTTACAATTGAAAAGCAGTCGTACTCAGAAAATAATGTTAATCTTTCTCTCTCTCTTGAAAGAAATGTTTTAAATTGAATTATATTTTTATTTTTCAATTGTTTTCTAATAGTTTAAAATTACCACATCAGTTTTGAAGGGTGATCTCTTTAGCTTCCTCAGAGACTATAAAAACTAGCTGTTCTTTAAAGATGGTTGACATTTTTCCATTGAAATGTTGATACTAACATCATCTGTTTTTTTGTAAAAAATTCATTTTATGTAAAAAATGCACTTATTAACAAAATTAGTTTTAGTAGAAATTGTTTTAGTGGGAATGAGACGTGGAGACTCAGGACTTGTTGACATGGAGACACTCAGGAAAGGTAATCCAATTAATAAAATATGTAAATTTAGAGCACATCAATCAAATGGAATTAAATCTTTGCATAGACACTAATTCAGAATTCAAGTGGTTTTACTTCATTTTAGTTTAATTTACATGTTAGGCCACGTTAGTTCTGAGATTGTCAGCACAGAGGTTTAAAGCCGTTTTAAAATTAAATTTACATTCACAGCATTAGTTACTTCAGATTAAATGTCCTGGGTATCCCTATGTAGACAAGTCCACAGTGACTACTCAAGGTCACACAAAAAGTTTGTGCAAGAAAAGGGACTTAAAACTAGGTCTCCAGAGTCCCAGGCTTAAGTCCTAATCAGATCATCCTTCCCTGCCTTCCAACATTTCCCAAGATCCATAGAAGTAGGAGACCGTACATCTAGGGCAGTGTTTCTGAAAGTGGTCTGTGAAACCGCTCTGAGGTATGTCTACACTGCACGTTTATTTTGGAATAAGCTATTCCCGAAGATATATTCTGAAATAGCTTATTTCAAAATAGAACACACTCTACAGGGAAGCCTCAAAATTAGTCCGAAGCAGGCTCCCCTAATGTGGATGCACTATCTCGATTTAGAGCCCCAGGAGAAAAATTCCTGGGAGAAATTACTTAGAATAGCCTTGGTGAGGCTCTATTTCAAAATGGCAGCAGTCCACTGGAGCATCCACACTGAAGCTAGTTCAAAACTGCTAATTTAGTAGAGAAGTTATTCCTCATGGAAAGAGGTTTACAGAAGGCGGAATAAGCAGCCCATTATTTTGAAGTAATGGAATTGCTGTGTAGATGTTCGCATTGTTATTTTGGAATAATGCTAGTTATTCTGAAATAAGAGTGCAGTGTAGACGCACCCTGAGAAACCTAACTGGCCACTCTATTATGTTTATTTACTGGCTCCGCTGCCACAGAGCCTCGCAGCTCCCATTGACTCCAGTTCGCTGTTAGCAGCCAAGGGGAGCTGTGGGAAGCAGCAGCCCATCCCACGCTGCTTCCCAGACTCCCCTTGGCTGCAAACAGTGAACCAGAGCCAATGGGAGCTATGAGGCTATGGAGCTGGTAAAGAAACACGCTGAAGCTGCTAGTTAGCACGTTTCTCAGACCACTTTGCCAAACCCTGATCTAGGGTTATATCCTGGCTCCATCAAAGTTAATGGGACTTTTGCTCTGACTTCAGTGGGGCCAGCACTTCATTCCTTGCCTCTTTTGTACTCCCCAAAACACATCATAACTGAGGAAATGATAGTCTAGAATACGTGAAAGATAAAATTTGTAATGATCTGGTCTACTCTGTGGGTTTCTTCAGGGCACGGGGACAATCTAGGACGTGGTGATCCATAATTGAATTTCTATTAAATTAATTATTTGTAACTACATGAAAACTATATGAATTCATCTTAATTAGCGTTATCACAGTGATCCCCAAAGGAAGAGAGAATGATTTCCAGCTTATTCTCAAGGGCTGCTATTTCTGCTGACAAAAATTGGATCTAAAACATCTGACAGAATCTTCTTTTTTTTTCTTTTTTTTTTTTTTTGGTGTGTGTAAAATGATATGTTTGGAAGAAACACCAATTTCCCCCTCTGCTGTTTTTTTATACAATTCCTCAAACAATGAAAAAATGATCTGCATTTGTGAAGAAATGTGGAAAAATACACAAATGTTGCTACAGGGATGTCGTAGCTGTTGCAATATTAATTGATTATATTACCTTGACCATTAATTCTTAAAAACAGGGATCATAACACACACACTGTGAAAATTAAACTTCCTGGAAGCAAGAATGCAGATGGGTTTTATGTAAAATGTAAAGTTTTCCCGGAGGACATAAGTACATTTATAGCAACCAAATATTAGATAGGATAGTGTAAAGGACAGTGGTCAGAAAACCAGATAATTCTACAGCAATATAGAGCTTTTTATTGAGATGGAAAACAATGGCTACAATTTCTTACCTTTATTTTGTTACCAATTCAATTTGATTGTTATAGCTACCGTACAGAAGAATAATTTCAAGGAATGTGACAGTTGCTTAATCATTAATCAGTTTTTAATAATGTGCCAATTTGATTACTTCTTGTAGTTTACTCAACTATTTGTTATACACAAAAATGCCATGCCAAACTTCTCAGGACATCAGCAGCTCACCACCAGCATAATTTGACCATTTATTATTCCAGAATTAAAAACAGACTATGCTATCAGGATTTTACCTTTGTAGTTTTCTTTTTTTTCTTTTCTCTTTTCTTTTCCCAAATTCCTTTTCTTCCTGTCATGTAATGATGTGCTTTTCTCTTTCATCTATTCTTTCGGCATACAGTATCCTGCCCTTGCTTTCTGATGTAGCTGTGTCTTATGAGCTACCACATTCCTAAATAATGCATTGAGATCAATCTACAGTTTCTCAGCCAATCCTTAACTGGAGCATAAATTCTCTTCTATAGTAACTATCGTATTCTCAGTCAAGTCAAAGTCACTGTTTCACTGGCATAAGTTACCCTTCAGTAGTAATTATCTCACGGAGACCAGCTCCTTTGAAATAAACTGAAAAACATAAGGTACAGTGAAAACACAAATGTGGGAACTGAGACATTTTCAAAATAAGTTCAGCTTATAAAAATACAAGATTATATTTAAACTACCAGGAACAGTCAGCCTGAAAAAGAAGTCGGATAGCTTAAATAGCTCTGGAAGGAAAGGAAGTGCATTGCAGAAATGCTCCCACAGTTTGTTACAGTATCTGTGTGTCTGATCTTGCTCCCACATCAGTCAATAAAGCTTTTGCTACTAAATTTCAATGAGAGCAAAATCAGGCTGTAACACATTGTATTTTTGTATTTTGAACACAGAAACACATGTCTCATTTCCATCGTTGGCTTCTGGATTTCCACGGTACCTTGTGTCTCCTAGTTTCTCATTTCAAACACACACACTACTTATTTTTAAAAACTATACGAGAATAATCTCCAGGATTTGCATACTGCTTCTAGTAATGACACTGCAGTGTTTTGGGTAATAAATGGCCCATACAGTCATATATTTTTATTTATAAGGAGAAGTATTTTTTAAATGAAACTCACCTTCTTTTTAAGTGGTTTCTCTTATTCAGCTCTCTCAGGCTGTGTCCAGACTCGAGGGTTTTTTTGAAAAAAGGCTACTTTTTTCGAAAAAATGTCTCCTGCGTCTAGACTACAGCCACGTTCTTTCGAAATTAAATCGAAAGAACGCGGCTTTTCTTTCAATGGCAGAAAACCTAATTTCACGAGGAAGAACGCCTTTTTTCAAAAGTGCTCTTTCAAAAAAAGGTGTTCTTGAATGCAAACAGGGCTTTTTCGAAAGAGAGCATCTAGACTGCCTGGGTGCTATCTTTTGAAAAAGCGGCTTGCTTTTTCGAAAGTACTGCTTGCAGTCTAGATGCTCTTTTTCGAAAAAGCCTCTTTCGAAAGAGGCTTGCAGTCTAGACATAGCCTCAGTGATTTAGCTTAATTAAGTCCTGATGCAAGACACACATTGAAAGAGAGCAACATAAACTTGGTCCATATTCACTCCTAACATGCCTATTGTGAAAGCTTTCCTATAGGGTAAGAGTGTCTGTGCCTCTAGCTTTCTTCTTTAGAGAAGCTCTCAGTCTTGTGTATTGGATAAGTGAGGGGTTAATTAAAAATCTGGACCTGGCTGCTGCCCAGATGACTCAATCAATAGAGTAAGGAGGACAGTGTGTTGTAGGCTCAAGAAACTCTGTTCCACATGGCCCTATAGACTGAACACCTTGTGAAAGCATACTTTAAATAAATCTGGAACTGGCAGAAAAACAAATGAGCAACGTCTAGATTGCATCCCTTTTTCGTAAAAGGAATGCAAATTAGACGTATTGCAATTGCTAATGAAGCGGGGATTTAAATCTCCCCCGCTTCATTAGCATAAAAATGGCTGCCGCTTTTTTTCTCTCCTGAATTAAAATGACTCTGCTTGGTGAGGCATTGTCAAAACTTCCTTGGACAATGACTTCTTTTGAATAATAGATGATCAAAGTGAGAGGTACTCGTGATCTATTATTCAAATGACGGCATTAGTCAGAGAAGAAAAAGACCATGATCAGATTCAATATAATCACAGGATGGCAATCAACCTCCAGACACATACTAGTAGCTGCTTTCATGGCATAACACAGGGCCTGAGGACTGGCGCCAGAATGTCAGATTGGCAAGATTTAATTAGTACTTAATAAAATGAAAAGGTGTAATTTATACTTCTTTGATACCTTCGTTAACAAACTGTATTCTTCTTGCTGCCTTTGGTCCTCTAAGGGTCGTGGGCCTTCCTGTTTTTCTTCTGTTCTGAACAGCAGTTGGGAGAAAAGAAAATACAGCAACAGCTGTGGCTGTGTGAAATGGTAGCACTTTTACTGCATCAAGCTAACAAAAGTAAGCTGCATATTTTTTGTACAGTACACACCTTACTAAGCTACATAAACCCGAGAACAATATTTCAACTCAATCTTCAGGATAACGGAGATCTTCAGCTGGCATTAATTGGTGAATCTCCACTAAAGTCAGTGGATTTGTGCTGATTTACACCAGCTGAGAAGAAGCTGGGCTTAGGGATCTACAAATTAATAGTATTCTACATTGCCATATCTATTCAAAGACATATGGTCCATACAAAAGAGGGGACACAGCATTCTAAAAGTTAGATTAGATGGTGAGGAGTTAGAGTTTCTACAATTTATACCTGACTCTGCCAGTGACAATCTGCAAGACCTTAAACAGGTCATTTAACATATCTTTGGCTCAGTCTCCCCTTGTTTAAAGCACAGATGATTATACTCCTTATAGTACCTCCTAAGGATGTTATGAGGCTTAAATCATTACTGCTTATTATTATTTGTTATTTTACTGTACCACCCAGGAGCTGCAGCCACTGATTAGGACCCCATAGGACTAAGCACTGTACAAATGCAGAAAGGTCCCTACTCCAAAGACCATTAATGCTTTAAAGCCCTTTGAAGTTCTTCAAGTGCTACAAAAGAACAAAAGTCTTGTTGGCATTTGTTACTCAAGTTATAATAAATGGAATGAAGAGTCATGCTGAAAATAAAGAGAAAACTAGTGCTGCAGATAAACTCATCAGATAAACAATGTGCAAAGGCAGTACTGTATCAGGAGACAAGAGTACATAGTCCTGGCCCCACTGAATAAATGGCAAAACTCCTAATGGTTTTAATGGGATCAGGGTTTTCTCACTTGGTTCTTCTGCCATATTGTCTTTTACAGTCTTTCTATCAAAGTCTTTTTCGACTATTACGCCACTGTTTAGAGGGTTAAGAGATTTAGACACTGCATGAACCAACAATGAATGTTTCTAAATATTTTTAGCTTAACATGGATTTGCAAGATTCCTCGATAGGAGGTATTTGTTAAGATTGCCATGTTTTTCATGGACAGAATAGCTCAGAAAAAAATTAGTGCAATGCCTCAGATTAAATAAAAGTAGTGCTAACTAATCTCTTATTTTACCAGAATCTGGGAAGAAAAGTTGTCATTGGCCTCCTGAGTACTTCTGAATGAACAAGTAAGTTGCTTATTGCATTCATATATTTTATAAGGAGTACGTCTTCAGAATTTCCTACCTCATTACCTTATTCCCCTTAAAAAGCTTTCCCATTTTCCTTTCCATATCACCTGCCTTGATGCTTGTGAATGGCTTTTTAATGACCAACATTGTTTTCACTCAGGTATCCCCTTATGGAACAACCCATAGCAATGGAGGAGGAAAGGAAGCTCCATTAAACAGTGAGAATACTTATTTTATTTAAAGGCTGTTCCTTTTTAATTATTTGTATTACTGGAAGATTTACCCAGTGTTGTTCGAGTCATTAACTCAAATAAGTTCTGTTTTTTTTTCATTTAAATCATTGTTCCGGGGTGGGGCTGGGAATGAGGAGTTCAGTATGAAGGCACCCCTTTGGGGAGAGGACAACCTAAGTTTTCTCTCACTGGAACTGGTTGGGGCCAGCTGAAAAGTGCCTGACCATGGATGCTGTGGCTCCAGTTGGACAGATGAGGGAAGGGTGCATATCTCCCTAGCTGGGGGACAGACATGCAAACAGACAAACTCTCTGAAAAATATAATAAATAGCTGTCCCTTTCTCTACCCATGACCTCTGCTGGTACAACGAGGTTGTAGCTGTTCTGATCCCCATCTCTGGCACCTTGCTGTCCTCTTGTGGTCATTCTGCAGTATAACACCCTCCTGCCAGACGCCTCCCTTTCCACTTTATGACAAAACAGTCAAATTCCATGCACTTCTTATTAACCTGGTACAACCAAACCCTAATTTTACTTTAAGTCATGATAAAGTATGAGGAAGCTGCATACCAAATTTGGTGGTCCTAGCTCTTACCATTTAGGAGGAATTATTGAATAAATGAACTCACAGATGGACAGACAAACATTTCTAAAATATATAGTAAGATATGCATAGTCTTCAAGTATGGCAGTAGTCCAATAACATGCGGTATATGGACTGTTATTAGGAATATAACATTCTATTTACAATTACATTTTACTTTGTTCTAATTTTTGCCTAAATATTGCGAATTTCTGAAGCTAAAATATAGTTAGATACTTTAAGTGGAGCCATGTAGATACTGAAAAAATTGTCAATGTTCTTTCATATCTAGATTCACTGGTTCTATATCAACCCAGTGAAAAATTTTGTAATCTAACACCTTTTCAATGGGGCCTATGTGAGAGTACTTATGATCAGAGTCTAGTTCAAAATGAGCAAGTGTCTATATTACAAATTGTACTAATTAACATATTTTATGGTACCTTCCAGCAGATACCAAGAACTGAATACTTTGTCTCCAGCTGCAGCATCCCTATGGTATACAGCAGCCTTCTGAGTCATGGAGAATGGGGTGGATCATTATGCTACTATTATGATTTATACTCATTTTCCACGTATCTTAGAGAAACAACCAGACCTGAAGTCTAAGGCTTTGTTTACATACTGAGGTAGTTAATACTACAGGCACTGATTTCAAAAGTGCACTAATGTGCTCTGCATTAATTTGCCTATGCGGACCCTAATGGTATATACTAATATTCCTTAGAATGCTTTAACACTAAATTAAAACACAGTGGGGATCATTTAATGTGCACCAACAGAGACTACACAGACCAATAAATACAAAACACGTTAGTGGGCTTTAGAAGCCCTACAGATTTTCAAAAGCACTAATGTGAATTGGGAGCACAAAGTCCAAGGAAACTCATGCTTGAAAGTTCCACTGAAAACATTCAAACTTTTGAAAATCCTACCCAAGATAAATAAAGATTTTTCATTGACTTAAAAACACAAACTTCCCTTCAATAGGAACAGTGGGGTCAAAGCCTATTATTTACTTAAAAGCACTTCAGGGAGACAACCACTTCCTCAAATTTCAAAGCATAGAGCTTCTGAGTCACAATTTACATTGAAATCATCAGCAGTCAGTGCATCCAAGACCTAACCATCTACGATAATGTATAACATTTATTATGTGCAGATTGATTCCTACCTGCTGCCATAAGCTGCTGTTGGTCTTTCTTCAGGTTCTCCTGGCACGGTTTGGACTGTTACTGGAAGGATCTGGCTGACTCCCATGAGAGTTTAGCCATTCTGCCTAATCCTATGGAATAGGAATAAAATTACCCAGTACTTAAACAAAATCCTTCATTTTAGACTTCCTATCCAGGCGCTCCTGGAGCATTCATCCCTGTGTTATATAAATGCTGAACCTACTGGGCAGGACAATGGCAGCTGCAGATTAGAACTTAAATCCTGGTGAGGAAATTTAACCATCAACTTTCTAACTAAGTAGTGAGAGTAGAGAGAGCTACCATTGGAACACTGAAGAGACATGACATAAAAGTGAAGGAATATGTGGCATTGGGGGTATAGCTGCTGAAGTAAGAGGCAAAATGTAAACCCAATTGAAATCACAGTTGTTTCTTAGTGTTCATAATGTGGTCACAACTTTCAGAAGACTGAAGTCTGTGAAGTCCATTGAAATTTTGCCTTTGACTTCATTGAGAGCAGGTCTCGGTCTTAAGTGAACTAGCACATGCTGTGATCTCCAGAACTTCTAAATATTGAACTTCAATGGTGGCAGAGGGGGAGGGGATATTCAATAGGCAACTAAATGAATCATTTATATAAAAAAAATGAAACTGGTGTGTTAAGCTATATCAGCAGCAGCTCAGTTTACTTCTGTAACCATTGGCTACAGTAATGAAAGCTATCCTCATTTTCTGATTGCTCTCATATCCTGCAATATGACCCCTGTGTTCCCTCAGCAGACAGCAGTTATTTACAGTAGTATCTTCAGTCAGGACCAAGATCTGATGTACCTAAATAGTATAAAAAAGGGAAAGATTACTAAACAAGCACAGATCTGCAATTACCACTCTATTTAGAATATAGGCATTTAAATGGAAGTAGCTGAGTTTCTATTCATGACAGATTTCCTTTTGATGACTTCATAGTATTTTATACAACTCTGCATACTGTGGGATGAAAATGTACATGTGTAAAACAAAGTCATTACTGAAAAAGAAAGTTAATTGTTAGACATGTTCCATTTCTCTCTTTGCTATTGCTTAATTGCTATTTTTTCAAATTGAAGAATCATTATTTTTCAGGACTCATTTAGCACATGTTGTACATTTTATATGCTGCAATGCTCAGAATTGCCTTTTAAGTACTGAAGGAAGCTTAGCAGGTTTTTTTTTATTGTTTTCATCTCAGTCCATTAAGCTCCTAAAATGGATAAAGTCTAAGGCTGTGACATGAATGGAATAAATCTCTGAGCTAGGTTCAATGAATGCCAAGATATTTATTCTAAATAAATGATTACCCCAGTTAGATATTTGTAATGCTTGACGCTTCAAAAAAGCCTCCTACATAAAAAATTCAGCTACCACTTTACAATTGAAAAGCAGTCGTACTCAGAAAATAATGTTAATCTTTCTCTCTCTCTTGAAAGAAATGTTTTAAATTGAATTATATTTTTATTTTTCAATTGTTTTCTAATAGTTTAAAATTACCACATCAGTTTTGAAGGGTGATCTCTTTAGCTTCCTCAGAGACTATAAAAACTAGCTGTTCTTTAAAGATGGTTGACATTTTTCCATTGAAATGTTGATACTAACATCATCTGTTTTTTTGTAAAAAATTCATTTTATGTAAAAAATGCACTTATTAACAAAATTAGTTTTAGTAGAAATTGTTTTAGTGGGAATGAGACGTGGAGACTCAGGACTTGTTGACATGGAGACACTCAGGAAAGGTAATCCAATTAATAAAATATGTAAATTTAGAGCACATCAATCAAATGGAATTAAATCTTTGCATAGACACTAATTCAGAATTCAAGTGGTTTTACTTCATTTTAGTTTAATTTACATGTTAGGCCACGTTAGTTCTGAGATTGTCAGCACAGAGGTTTAAAGCCGTTTTAAAATTAAATTTACATTCACAGCATTAGTTACTTCAGATTAAATGTCCTGGGTATCCCTATGTAGACAAGTCCACAGTGACTACTCAAGGTCACACAAAAAGTTTGTGCAAGAAAAGGGACTTAAAACTAGGTCTCCAGAGTCCCAGGCTTAAGTCCTAATCAGATCATCCTTCCCTGCCTTCCAACATTTCCCAAGATCCATAGAAGTAGGAGACCGTACATCTAGGGCAGTGTTTCTGAAAGTGGTCTGTGAAACCGCTCTGAGGTATGTCTACACTGCACGTTTATTTTGGAATAAGCTATTCCCGAAGATATATTCTGAAATAGCTTATTTCAAAATAGAACACACTCTACAGGGAAGCCTCAAAATTAGTCCGAAGCAGGCTCCCCTAATGTGGATGCACTATCTCGATTTAGAGCCCCAGGAGAAAAATTCCTGGGAGAAATTACTTAGAATAGCCTTGGTGAGGCTCTATTTCAAAATGGCAGCAGTCCACTGGAGCATCCACACTGAAGCTAGTTCAAAACTGCTAATTTAGTAGAGAAGTTATTCCTCATGGAAAGAGGTTTACAGAAGGCGGAATAAGCAGCCCATTATTTTGAAGTAATGGAATTGCTGTGTAGATGTTCGCATTGTTATTTTGGAATAATGCTAGTTATTCTGAAATAAGAGTGCAGTGTAGACGCACCCTGAGAAACCTAACTGGCCACTCTATTATGTTTATTTACTGGCTCCGCTGCCACAGAGCCTCGCAGCTCCCATTGACTCCAGTTCGCTGTTAGCAGCCAAGGGGAGCTGTGGGAAGCAGCAGCCCATCCCACGCTGCTTCCCAGACTCCCCTTGGCTGCAAACAGTGAACCAGAGCCAATGGGAGCTATGAGGCTATGGAGCTGGTAAAGAAACACGCTGAAGCTGCTAGTTAGCACGTTTCTCAGACCACTTTGCCAAACCCTGATCTAGGGTTATATCCTGGCTCCATCAAAGTTAATGGGACTTTTGCTCTGACTTCAGTGGGGCCAGCACTTCATTCCTTGCCTCTTTTGTACTCCCCAAAACACATCATAACTGAGGAAATGATAGTCTAGAATACGTGAAAGATAAAATTTGTAATGATCTGGTCTACTCTGTGGGTTTCTTCAGGGCACGGGGACAATCTAGGACGTGGTGATCCATAATTGAATTTCTATTAAATTAATTATTTGTAACTACATGAAAACTATATGAATTCATCTTAATTAGCGTTATCACAGTGATCCCCAAAGGAAGAGAGAATGATTTCCAGCTTATTCTCAAGGGCTGCTATTTCTGCTGACAAAAATTGGATCTAAAACATCTGACAGAATCTTCTTTTTTTTTCTTTTTTTTTTTTTTTGGTGTGTGTAAAATGATATGTTTGGAAGAAACACCAATTTCCCCCTCTGCTGTTTTTTTATACAATTCCTCAAACAATGAAAAAATGATCTGCATTTGTGAAGAAATGTGGAAAAATACACAAATGTTGCTACAGGGATGTCGTAGCTGTTGCAATATTAATTGATTATATTACCTTGACCATTAATTCTTAAAAACAGGGATCATAACACACACACTGTGAAAATTAAACTTCCTGGAAGCAAGAATGCAGATGGGTTTTATGTAAAATGTAAAGTTTTCCCGGAGGACATAAGTACATTTATAGCAACCAAATATTAGATAGGATAGTGTAAAGGACAGTGGTCAGAAAACCAGATAATTCTACAGCAATATAGAGCTTTTTATTGAGATGGAAAACAATGGCTACAATTTCTTACCTTTATTTTGTTACCAATTCAATTTGATTGTTATAGCTACCGTACAGAAGAATAATTTCAAGGAATGTGACAGTTGCTTAATCATTAATCAGTTTTTAATAATGTGCCAATTTGATTACTTCTTGTAGTTTACTCAACTATTTGTTATACACAAAAATGCCATGCCAAACTTCTCAGGACATCAGCAGCTCACCACCAGCATAATTTGACCATTTATTATTCCAGAATTAAAAACAGACTATGCTATCAGGATTTTACCTTTGTAGTTTTCTTTTTTTTCTTTTCTCTTTTCTTTTCCCAAATTCCTTTTCTTCCTGTCATGTAATGATGTGCTTTTCTCTTTCATCTATTCTTTCGGCATACAGTATCCTGCCCTTGCTTTCTGATGTAGCTGTGTCTTATGAGCTACCACATTCCTAAATAATGCATTGAGATCAATCTACAGTTTCTCAGCCAATCCTTAACTGGAGCATAAATTCTCTTCTATAGTAACTATCGTATTCTCAGTCAAGTCAAAGTCACTGTTTCACTGGCATAAGTTACCCTTCAGTAGTAATTATCTCACGGAGACCAGCTCCTTTGAAATAAACTGAAAAACATAAGGTACAGTGAAAACACAAATGTGGGAACTGAGACATTTTCAAAATAAGTTCAGCTTATAAAAATACAAGATTATATTTAAACTACCAGGAACAGTCAGCCTGAAAAAGAAGTCGGATAGCTTAAATAGCTCTGGAAGGAAAGGAAGTGCATTGCAGAAATGCTCCCACAGTTTGTTACAGTATCTGTGTGTCTGATCTTGCTCCCACATCAGTCAATAAAGCTTTTGCTACTAAATTTCAATGAGAGCAAAATCAGGCTGTAACACATTGTATTTTTGTATTTTGAACACAGAAACACATGTCTCATTTCCATCGTTGGCTTCTGGATTTCCACGGTACCTTGTGTCTCCTAGTTTCTCATTTCAAACACACACACTACTTATTTTTAAAAACTATACGAGAATAATCTCCAGGATTTGCATACTGCTTCTAGTAATGACACTGCAGTGTTTTGGGTAATAAATGGCCCATACAGTCATATATTTTTATTTATAAGGAGAAGTATTTTTTAAATGAAACTCACCTTCTTTTTAAGTGGTTTCTCTTATTCAGCTCTCTCAGGCTGTGTCCAGACTCGAGGGTTTTTTTGAAAAAAGGCTACTTTTTTCGAAAAAATGTCTCCTGCGTCTAGACTACAGCCACGTTCTTTCGAAATTAAATCGAAAGAACGCGGCTTTTCTTTCAATGGCAGAAAACCTAATTTCACGAGGAAGAACGCCTTTTTTCAAAAGTGCTCTTTCAAAAAAAGGTGTTCTTGAATGCAAACAGGGCTTTTTCGAAAGAGAGCATCTAGACTGCCTGGGTGCTATCTTTTGAAAAAGCGGCTTGCTTTTTCGAAAGTACTGCTTGCAGTCTAGATGCTCTTTTTCGAAAAAGCCTCTTTCGAAAGAGGCTTGCAGTCTAGACATAGCCTCAGTGATTTAGCTTAATTAAGTCCTGATGCAAGACACACATTGAAAGAGAGCAACATAAACTTGGTCCATATTCACTCCTAACATGCCTATTGTGAAAGCTTTCCTATAGGGTAAGAGTGTCTGTGCCTCTAGCTTTCTTCTTTAGAGAAGCTCTCAGTCTTGTGTATTGGATAAGTGAGGGGTTAATTAAAAATCTGGACCTGGCTGCTGCCCAGATGACTCAATCAATAGAGTAAGGAGGACAGTGTGTTGTAGGCTCAAGAAACTCTGTTCCACATGGCCCTATAGACTGAACACCTTGTGAAAGCATACTTTAAATAAATCTGGAACTGGCAGAAAAACAAATGAGCAACGTCTAGATTGCATCCCTTTTTCGTAAAAGGAATGCAAATTAGACGTATTGCAATTGCTAATGAAGCGGGGATTTAAATCTCCCCCGCTTCATTAGC